ATAAACAGTAAATTGTGTCATATATTTCTATAAGAAAACAAATATTGAACGTTAGGTTGATTTTTTTTTTTCAGCACAGCTTATTTTTCAGTAATGAACTTTCTCAGAAAATTCTTAATTATGTATGTTATGCTTTTAAAAAATAATAGATAGATACCATTCTTTGTGTAGAACTGCAATTATCTGGGCTTGAGATATCTTGAACTCTAATTATCTGGATAGCTTGTTCTTGCTAGGCCAAGTAAAATTAAGTTTATGAATTTATTATTATATTTTGGATTTCTTTGTTTTATTTTGTTTTGCTACCAGTTCTTGTTAATTCTAATGATTTCTTTGACATCCAGGAGCAGAGTGTTAAGAAAGAATCTCGATGCTTTGATGGCAGTTTCTCTAATTGAAAATCTAACATTTTGCTCTATCTTCATAGATTGAAAAATTCCCTTCAGTTGAATAATAAGCTTTAATTTCCAAACTTGCCTGAACAGAGATGGCCTTAATTATAAGAAAACATTTGCATTTTTTTAGGTGATTTACATGAAAAGGAGCTTTAATATAAGATGGCCTCCCATGTACGAGAAAGTATGTCTTATCAGTTATATATATTTGAGGGCTTAGTCTGCTTAAGGAGAGGGATACTTTTGTGGGGGACTTTCAGAGCAAAAATGCTTCATATTTATGTCATATATTGGGAAAACTACAAAAACACATCAGCCATTGGAACCAGCTTTTCCTCGCATTTTGAACCAATGCTGAACTACCAGTATTCATTGGTAACCATAACTTGATGAAAATGCAATGCACAAGTTTCATTCAGTTTGTTAAGACAGTTAACTTGCACTCTCAAATTGAATCCAGTCATTGAAATGGGGTTAAAATTAAAAAAAAAAAAAAAAAAAAAAAAGACTAAAGCCATATAAGAATAACCTAAAAACAAAACAAAATTCTATAATACATTTTATTTACTTTGTTAATAGCCTAAGTTATTGATTAATATTTTTATTGAATTAATGTACTATTAATTAAATTAAACCTTCGCTGTGTGCTTGTATTTTTATCAGTTTAATTAACATTTTAAAATTTTTGTGGGTAGATGCTGCTCAAAACCCATAATTTTGTATGACTGCATAGTTCTCATTATCTGTGATTTCATCATCTGAAAAACATTGGAAGAAAGTAATATGCATGGTTAATGACTGCTATGACTAGACTCAGTTACAGTTGATTCTCATTGCAGTTTCGTGACTACTGTCATCGTAGTCAGTTACTATTAGAGTCAAACTGGGTGTGTTGGGTTGGGGTAATCAAGCTTTGCTTCAGCAGGAAACAGATGCTAGACTTTAAAGAATTGTAGCTTGATAATTGCATGTTTTAATAGCAATAAAATAGTTATTGAATAGGAAGAAACATTTCAAGCAAATTAAAAAAAGATGTCTTATTTTTTAATTAATATGATCATTTATTAATATAAATAAAAAATTCCTTTTACTGTTATTCTGTATTCAGGAAAATATGATTCTATGATAATACAAATTTTAACCTTTTGTACAGTTCTTTTTCAGACAGAATACGAAGCACCTTTTCTTTCTGGTTTTCAAAACTTTTTTTAATGATCATGATTATCATCTGATTACAGTAAAATTGAATGGTTAATTAAAGAGATAGAAATATTTATAGAAAGTTTTTTGTTTGAATCTTTTTATTCAATATGTTGTAATCTTAAAAATAGAGCTAATGATTAACTCATGTGCTGTTTTAAAATGGATGAAACAATTGTGATGGTATAGAATATTTTGTGAAAAAAATTACTCAAGATTAAGTTGCTAACTTAACAGGTCTTTTTACTTAGAAAAGAATAGTTCATTTAACTTTTGTGAGGTTCAACCCATGAAAAATAAACCTAGCTTTAAATCAATGAATTCATTCATTAGTTGAAAAGTGGATTTATCAGATTCATTTTGATTTTAACTGAGCAGGTTGCAAGTATACATACTTATTATGTGTACTTGTGCCTTCAGTAAAATTTAAGGTGCATCAGTCAGTGCAACAATTTGCTTGTGTATTTGTCTTTTCTACAGTTCTGACAGCCATTGCCTGCCTGCCTAAAGCAATATTGGCTTTGTGAATGTAGCAAGAATGGTTGGCTTGGCTTGGTTTGCGTAATTATGATAAAGCAGTCAAGGCTTATCTTCATAAGGGGAAGGATGCCTTCATGGAGGACTTTTTAAGGGAACTGGCTTGTATACACATTACACATGTGGAAAACCATGAAAGTGCCCAAGCGCCTGTTCGCTGAATTCAAGGCTTAAACTCAACTACCAGTTTTCAGCGACTTTACTGCATGATTGGTTGGTGGACCTTTGTCAAGAATGGAGTTATTTGCTTTTATCTTATTTTGATGGATAGCACGCAGAGGTTGCTAGATATTGATTAGAATCATTCAGCATAATGTAATTTTAAAATTTAAATCGCTGATTGTTAAAATATATGTTGCAATGTGATTTCTGTTTAAATTATAACTATATTGCAAAAACAGAAGTACTGTTTTTTATAAGGCCAAGTGCATTTAAAAGGATCAAAGAATTAGGTCTGGTTTGTGAACAGTGAGTTGGCTATATTTAATCAGTCTTTTGATGCACATGAAATTGTTCCCCCCCCCCTTAGAGTAAAATGTCATTCCTTCCCTCTGATGGGTGAAGTGGAATATTTTTTTAAGCTTTTCCTAGTAAAATATCATAATAACAAGGTAATAAACTCTATCATGTTTGTTACACTAAATGTGTAATGGATGTTCAGCAGAAAGACAACTCACTTCTCTGAAGTTTTATAATATCTGAATGTACTATGGCCCTAGTTAGTCTGGATATTTGCAGTTCTACTGTAATTAGTTTCCGAAAGGACATGAAAAATGGAATAATGACCATTATTTATTAAAATGTGTAGAGTCTGTATGTGGTAAAAGTTTAGATTTTCCTTTGCATTTAACCATTAATCTTAATAACTAGGAGATATGCATGCTTGCATTGGCGTCCCCCCCCCAAAAAAAGTCTCGGTTATTCTAAATATTTTAACTGAAATTAATATGCATTAAAAACTTGTATGTTTGCAAAATAGTTAAATCTAATCTAATTATATAGTTCCTTTGTAATAAAAAGTTGTTTTGAAAATCGTGATTACCTTGTAATTCTTTCTTCATTTTGCTGTAAATTTATAGCTATTAAAGTTGTGTTCTAGAAATTTCTGTCAGCTGAATAGTAGTACAAATACTTTTTAATATATATATGTTTAATGTTATTAATTAATATATTTTTTAGCTTTGACTAAAACTTAATCGATGAAATAAATGCTTGTCTTGATCAAGTCAAACTTTGATATTAAATTCATCACTGTTTTGAGCAAACATGTTTGCTTCATATTTCATATTTTCTCGAAGAGTAGAGATTATATCAGTGTTTCACTTTGTTGTGAATGTAATATGGAATATCATGTTTCTCGGTGTTTCTAGATTTGGTATTCTGTCCATTATTTGAAATCAGAAATTTATTGAACTAGTAAGTTTACTAATTTCAAATGAATTTAATATAGAGTGTGATATCCTGTGTGTTCCTTTACATAATTTTCATTCAACCAGCAGTTTTCAAGGAGTGAATTTCGCATGTGTTTTGTAGTATGTTAAATATGAACATTATAATTCACATTTCCGATAGTTCCGAATGATAAAAAAAATGTATGTAATTTTGCATTTGTGATGCTCATTGTTGTTATAAATTTGATTGAATTGAATAAAATCATACATTTGATTCTGTTGTTTCCTGCATTTCTTTGATTTAGCAAATGGCTGATAAGAAATACATTTTGATTCAATGTTGAATTTAGAATGAACTTTAAGAATATTTTAAAGTTTTTCTAATTTTTCTTGAATTCACACACACATTAGCAGTGTATTACCTATCAGCAATATTTTTTTTTTAAATTCAATTTAATGCTTGAAGTGTTAATCAGGCTATTACTTGAGGTATTAAAATCAAGTTTAATATATGTACATTATAATTTAAAAATCAGCTTACTTCTATAGATCATTTTGATCTTAAAACTTGTATTACATTACTCCACAGAAATTATTTTAATTAAAATATATTTTATGCCATAAAATAAATCTCGGAAGGAAATCAGTTTTAAATATCTATTTATTATTTAAAATTTAACAGATTCTGCTAATTTATTCATAACATTTTTTGAAATGATTTCTATCATCATCGATACATTGCATAATTGAAATTGATATTGAAGTAAATTTTTTTTGTCTAGGACCAGAATATTAGTATGAAGATTTCATAGTTAATATTTTTAAAATTAAATTTCTATACTTAATCTGATTTTGCATACACATTATAAAAATAGTTTTTTTAAAGTTTTTTTTTTTTTTTTTTTAAATTTGTCTGTTAAAGCATACAACTTAACATCACAAGCATTATATGAGACCAGCATTCAATAAGAAAAAATTAAATGTAAATAAATTGTGACCTTTAGAATTGCAGAATAGCATTTATTATTGAGGGCAACAGCAAAAATGATTAAAGTAACAATGAAAGTAATTATGGATAGGCCATTCATATTAAGAATGAAAATTTGTATTCAATGAGGGAATACATTTGTGATAAGAGAATGAGTTAATTCCTCATTACTTTCAACTTACTTTTCTTTGGTCTTCCGCAATTTTGTCTTGGAACCCTCTTCTTTGTAGCAAGTCTAGTCAAGTAAATTATTGAAATTTGTCTGAGGGAGCTCTGAAAGTCTCCAAGTGGCTTGAAGAGAACAGATCCTGAGAAATTGTGGAAGATCTTGAAAAGTAAGTTGGATAACTTACTCATAATAATTTTTATTTCTTATTATGTAATATGTCTGTTCTTAAAATAAGTTTCTTTATTCTTTGACTTTTAATACTTTATGTATGTTTATTTTAACTTTCTAAAGATAAAAACTTGTAATTTTTTTTTCTTTAGGAATGCCAAGGTTAATGTCCTGGTTTACTACAGATCGTGGTCGAATATTTACTCGTGCATGTGTTGGACTTGCTGCTGTTTCTGTAGTTGGAAGTCATGTAGCAATTAATGGACCACTTTTGGATCAGCTCAGGACTGTGTGCCAACTGTATAAGTAGGTTCAGAGTGCAATAGTGCAATTCTTTTAAGCATTTTTTGAAGTATGTTTTACACTTTTGATTAATGTTATGAAAACAGTGTTTATTTATAGTTATCATTTGTATGGGACTCTGTTGCATGCTGACTAGGTGTAGTGAAAAATACCTTTAACCATTTCATGGCATTATTTTTTAAAGTGGCTACTATTTCTAAGAATGTAAATAAATATTGATATTGGTATTTATAATATTATTATTCTCTTGAAAAGACGATTTCCTAAATTGATTACTATGATCACCAAATGGTGACAATTAGAAATCAGACTAAGATGCTTACAATCAATTCGAAAAGTTACATTCTCAGTTCTTATTAGCCTACTATTTCTAAGAATGTAAATAAATATTGATATTGGTATTTATAATATTATTATTCTCTTGAAAAGAGCCCACCAGCGGCCGAGCGGTAAAATCGCTGAACACTGGTAGTTAGGTCCGAGGTTCGAATCCCGCGAACGGGCTGGCTGCATGGGCGTTTTCGTGGTTTTCCCCGTGTGTAACGTGTATACGAGCCAGTTTTCCTTAGAAAGTCCTCCACGAAGGCATCCCTCCTCTTAGGCAGATAGCCCTTGAGGCTTTGCCATAATCACACACACACACATATTCTCTTGAAAAGACGATTTCCTAAATTGATTACTATGATCACCAAATGGTGACAATTAGAAATCAGACTAAGATGCTTACAATCAATTCGAAAAGTTACATTCTCAGTTCTTATTAGCCCAGCAACTCCTTTTCTATGGAAAGGAATAATTACATATAGTCCTTGATGTCTAACAACTGACTTGCAGCAACATGATTTTACAATGTCCTCAAACTAAGATTAAAAATCATCTAATTTAAGTTGACATGACTGTCAACATATACATATAAAATTTAAAAAATATGTAATCAAAATTCTAACTTTATAATTTAGTTATATCTTTTTTCTGCTCTAAAAATAATAAACCTCTCTAAACTGCACCAGTCCAAAATCAATCACTGTCATATGATTTGTTATATAATGTTAGTGATGCAGATAATTTGCAAACTGAAACTCAAAGGCATAAATCAAAATGAAGTAAAAATCAGTCTTTACCAGAACACCATCTTGGGCATGTCTCATAATCTTTCCTCTCTTGTGTACTGCTTTCTTAAAAAAATATCAAAATTGTAAATGTTACCGATGAAATTCTTCAAGAACAGGAGCATATTGCACCATTTTACCTGTATTGATGCAATTTTGTCAACAAAAAGATAAAGTAATTTTCACATTGGCCATAACTGCAAGGTTCTTTATGCATCAACATCTATTTTCAACTTCCAAATTTTCATACATAAATTCTTCTTTTTTCTTTAATGCACAATTATTACCACTAAAACATTTCAGCTCTTACATAATGTGCTATGTGACCTTTTGCTGTTTTTATGTTGTTTTCATTATTTGTTGGTTTTGATAAGTAATTATGTCTATATAATAATTTGGAGATGTAAAATATTTGGAAAAAGGTGTGCTGTACTTATTTTATATCCTTAGAATTCCCTTTTGTTAAAACTACAAACAAATAATTAAAGTAAACAACAGTACTGGCAAAAGTCACCTTGTGCAGTGATGAGAAGTCGTTAAACTAAACTCATTAGTTGCTGCTAAGACTCCCCATTTCTAATGTTTTTTCACATTTTTGACACACTATTTTTTTCTTGGTAGTCATACAGTATGTATGTCTTCCTACAACCTTTATGTCTCATCATAATGCCTAGTAAGTGAAATAATAATGATGAAAATTCCATTATAGTAAAGAAGACGAAAAATACTCTAAATTTGGATTTTATGATAAAGATTATCAAAGCATGTGCTAATGATAGGGAAAATGTTGTAGAAATAGCCTGTGAAGAAACATTTAACCAGTTCAGTGATAACAAAAGATAAGGCCAGAATTAAGGAGGTTGATAAAAATGCAGTAATATTAAAATATGAGCAAACTTTAAATGCTAATAAGGATTGTTTCTGGCAACTTAAAGTTGATGTAATTTATATGTATAAGAGGAAGAGCTGCTGTTCCAATTTTAAAGTTATGGGAAATTAAAAAACAAAGATAAAAAGTGAAGGTCATTTGTCAGAACAGATATGTAGTGTGGATAAAACTGAACTCCTCTGGAAGAGAATACTAGAATGAACTTACATCAATAAAGAAGCTGCAGTGATGCCTGGTTTTAAAGCATTTAAAAATAGGATTGTGCTTCTTGGAGGAAGCTATTCTGCTTTTAATTTTAAAACCATTTTTTATTTACTTTCACAAAATCCCTTAGCTTTAAAAATATTGGGAAGACTGAATTGCTATTTTACTACAGGAGAAATTTTAAGGCTTGGATTACAGTTGTTTTATTTGAAGATTGGTTTTTACACCCACATTTTGTGTTGTCATATATCATAAAATTTCTAGTAGAACTCATCCATAAAGGTTAAGTATCATGGTATTCATGGTAAAATATTTGTGACTGTGATTTCCTTCTTCAATACTGAAAATGTCTTTGGCATTTTATTTAAACTTCAAGAAGTTTGAGTTAACTTTCTTTATTCCATTCCGTCATGCACATCTTTTCGTTTTCTATAGGACGTTCAAAGTACAATGTTGTTTCTAGCTTTGAAATTTTAAGGCCATATTTTATTTTCAGTGAAACACCCATATTCAACAGTTTTGACAACAACTTGCTCTCTTACAGAAATTGAACTTTTCTGAGTTCTGTAGCATTGAAATTAATTTAAGACAGCTGCTTTGAATTTAAAAAAAATCTTGAGACATTTGTTCTTTAGATTGACACTTGACTGATCCCTTTTCAAAAATCCCCCCCTTCTTCCAAAATGTGCAAGTCATGGTTTACTTCTGTGAGAAGTTTCTTCTTCTGTATATTAGAATTTTATTCAGTATTTCTTATCAAATCCAATTCCTGTTTGACATTAGGAGTGCATGAAAATGTGAGAGTATAGTCTTCAGTGTAATAATTGAAAAATAATCTTAAATAATTATTTCAAATCTTCTCAGTTTCAACTAAGATTGTGACTTAAAAAATTAAAAAAAAAGAGTATGGCAAAACTGTCAAAACTCATCCACATATGGATATTGCTGCTGTTGTCATTCACATGATGGCTAACACAGTTGGTTGCTCTGTCATTGGACCCAGATTAGTGCCCCAGAGAAAGCATGGATTTTATAAATGTGTAGTATCTTTACATTTTAGGGAGCTTGAAACCTATAGAGGTGAAAATAACCTTGAAAGGTGAGGCAAGATAGATGCAAGATCATTGGATTCTATCCTGTGAGGTTTTTTGAACAAAACTGAGATAGAGTTGGATACCGTTATGCTGTTACCAGTTAGGTGCCTGAGACCTTGGTCAATGACAAGCACACTATCATCCCAGCTGCAAGCATTCATGGGTTGTTCTAGTGGTTATATGCCTAGGCATAGGGATTAGCAAAAAACATATGCTTATTATTGCCTTTTTGTAATGTAAATAAAAAAATAATTTAATGTTTTGAAGTTTATTTGTTGTAAATGTGTTGAAAAGAATAATAATGCCAAAAATAACACGTGAAGGATAAACCATTTCTGTTTTTTATAAAAATAAGCCTGACCAAGGAATACCATAAAAGTGTATTATTTGAAATTGCTTCACACCAGTTTGTTCTGTCATGGAGGTAAAACAGTGTTCCACACTAGTTGGTTCTACCATGGCCATAGTTAGTAATGGAGTTCTACCTTTGGAGGTAAGATGTAGATGGAGCAGCTATGATTAATTCATGCAGTATGACTGGTTGAAACCCCTTTGCTGATAAGCTTTCTTGCCATACTCAAACAAGCATGGCAGGAAAGCTTATCAAGCTTTTTATTGGGTCAGTCAGATTGCAGTTTCTTATAACTCTATGCATTTTTCATCTGGCTGGTGTTTTGTAGGTAAACTGAAAATTTTTTGTCGCTATCAAAGTACTTTTGAAACTCATCATAAAACTTCTAATTTTCTATTCTTTATGTAAAAAATGTGATAAAATATTCCATGAAACATGGCCAGTACTTATTCATAACAAATACAAATTTCATCAGAAATTCAAAAACTTAAATTCCATTGGGACAAATTAAGTTAGATAATCTTTTATTCCCCCTGCATATAAATACAGTACAAAGTCTGTGATCTGGACTCGTAAGGACTTTGGCAATTCTGGATTTGGGATTTTTCTGGGTATTGGATCATTGATTTAAATCTAGTAAGAAGATGTAGAAATTATAAAATTAAAAATATGAAATAGTAATTTATGAGAAATCTACATAAATGTGGTTTGGTGTTTAATTATTACTGTAAAATTTTTTTTTAGATATTTGGCTGCATGAGTCATTTCTCAAGCTGCACTGTAGTCATGCAGTGATGAAAGCAAAAAATAACAAATAATGATTTGTCAGATTGGCATCAGTGCCGAAGTGAAATTAAGAATCGGGACTCTCCACGTGAACATTATGAAAAAATATCAAATTCACAAGTGTAAAGCATTAAAAAAAATTCTAAAAAAAGGGTGCGAGAAAGTTCCTGGTGGCTTATAGATCTGGTGTACTTATGTCATAATACCTCATCCATATTGTGAAAATCTTGATAATCATTATAAATTACACTAAGCAAAAAATACTGTTACGGATTTCGTATTTAAATAGCTAATGTTAGTTGAATTATAAATTAAATTGTTTTATTCCCCATGCAGTGGAGTGCGTGACGGATATTAAAGGAAAGCTAAGCCAGAAAGTTAAAAATACAAGAGAACGTGCGTTTAACATTTAAATAATAAATATCTCTTTTTGATTTTGAGAAAGTTCCAGAAAATTCTCGCACATGATTTAAAATCATATAAAAAAGAGGAAAACCTCTCAGTTCGTTGCTATGTTAGTTAGTTTGTTGTTGTTTTAAGAATTTGTTTAGAAAACTGCTCTTGTTGAT